AACAATGTGTATTCTATATGGATATCGCAACATAGTGACGCAGTTATATGTGACTTTAGACTTTCCGTTGATCGTTAAAGGAAAAAATGAGTTATCCTTTGATGCGTTATTTCCTTTTTCTTATCATGGATGTTTCGCAAATATCGCATCAGTAGAAATTGTTACATTCCATGTTCTCGATTATGGAATTGATATAATTAACTGTGATAATTAATCTGGTTTTTTTATTCATGGTAACATAAAAGAATAATTTTAATTCATTGTCGCCTTTGAAAATTGTTTATTTTAATCTTTGATAACGATTGCGAATAATTGTATATCTTATCTTATTATTTTTTATGTTACAAATAATTACATATTATAAGTTTGTGAATATGACGATACATTTATATAGATAAATTTATCCCGATGATAAATAATAATTTTAAAACTTACTCATTGTTTCTATTTGTCAAGGTATTAATACAAAAATTATTTTACAATAGAATACATCAAAAGAATAATTTTCAAAATTTTTTACAAGAATAAAAGAATTTTGAATCAAGTATTTGAAAATCAAGGAAATCTTGAAACATAAATAAAATTGATTTATTTATTAATTTATAAATTTATTAATAATTTTTATTGAATAAGAGATAGATATATCTTTTTTTGAATTTTTTAAAATTAAATTTAATATTAATTAGATTAAATATTCCCAATGATTTCTTATGAATGAATGAATGAGTCACATATTTCCGCGAATTTAAATGCGTAGTCGAATCTCGTAGTATTTTACTAGAAATGAAATTACTGATGAGATCGTCATCAATTATAAGAATTTTATTGTATTGTCAATAAAAATTAATCTCGCAATGTCTATAAATATACATATTTTTATTTACAAAGATTTTTATTAATATAAATCGAAGCAGAAGTGGAACAAATAAACATATAAACAGATTGATCAGATTCGAAACTTCCTTTACATCATGTAATTAAAACCGGTAGATGACAGTGAAAGTGCATTTACTTATGCTAAATATTGCGTAATATATAGTTTACATATACACATATAACGATATAATTGAGTTCTATTAATCTATTTTTTTTGTGTTTGTTTAAAGAAAATTTATTTTTTTAATCATACTTAGTTTACTTAATTTAAATCTTTGTTATATTATATATTTAATTTTATCGCAAATTTTATTAATTATAATTATTTCTATAACCTAACCTCATATTTTTGTAATTAATAAATTTTTGAGAAAATGAAGAATCGAAAAAAATAATATATCTATTAATTTATAATTAAAAAAAAAAACAATAACAGATTGAACGATAAAAGAATTTAGGAATAAACTATCAAAATATTCCACAGATTGATTCATTTTTTATCGTAAAGCGACGTCACGAAAAATCCGTTATTTTCTTCGCCTAAATCCCACAAGCAAATGCGATTCACGTCATGCTTTATCTATTTCATTTTAAATCATCTTTTTTCGACGAAATCAATTCTACCAATTTTCTTCCGTATATTCTTTCATCGTGATATATACTCTATACATTTGTTGGAATAAAACATGCATGCACGTATACACGCAAACATGAACATTCAGCATACATGCATCAGTGTCAGTGCACTGACACGCACTTTCGCATGTGAAGCTTTAAACATGTGCACGCACACGTATATGCGTTCTTTGCGGCAACGATTGGCTCTAACTTCTGTGGAGGGGATAAGGAAGGGTTCCGCGGTGGGGAGAGATGTGACTACAATTCCACTCGGTTTCGCGTTGTGTGAGAGTGAGTGAAAACCAGTCAGTCAGTTAGGCGAGCAGGCAAGAGCATGTTCGGTACGGGAGGAACTCTGTTACGAGCACGTTTAAATGATTGTGTGATAGATGCGTGATTATAGATGTTGACGATCGAATATATTGTTAGTCCGTTGAAAGAAAAAGAAAACGAAACATCGTTATATCTAAAATTTGATCGGTAACGGTGCACTGCCATTTCACTGCCGTGAAAACAAGAACTCGAATTTTTATACTCGTTAAATATTTGTGTTCCCTCGGCATTTATTTTGATTATTCTTTTTGAGAATCTTAACAATTTCGTGTGTCTATCATAACATCGTAATAACCGATATAACCTAGTTCTGTTTTCATTTTTTCTTTTCGTGCCTACCGGTCTGCGTTTTAAAGCTTGTGTAAGACGATATCGATAGATCATAGTCGCGGACACCAATGGACGTTTCCCACGCTAGTGTCGTGCCGCCAGTTTTGTTACACGTGACAAGTGAACAGAGGCTTGCAGAAAAATGCCCAGCCAAACTACGACTATTCTTCTTAAGTGTTCCATGGTGGATGTGCCTGCCCTTAATCACGTAAAATTGAAATCTCTGTACGGAGTAAGTACTTTCCGATATCACATCTCGATACTTAAATATTGTGCAATAGCGTGCATTTGATAAGGACCAGTCTCTAGAACGAATATAACGGTACGCAGGCACTGTACACCTTGTATTTATTGGTGACCCAAGACCAGTGATATATGGTCTTCGGAAAGAAGACACGATTCAAAAGATTTCTACCTGGATGTGTGTGTGTGTGCGCGCTCGCGTGTGTGTGTACATACATATGTACGATATATATATATATATATATCGAACATTTTTGTATCGCTTTTTGTTTTGATGGTAAGGTAAGGTTTTTGTTTTGTTCGTTGCGAGAAGTTTAATGGATCTTTTCAAATCTTTCATCTTAATTTCTCTCCGTGATATAGAGAAAGTTTTTGAAGCGATATTAATTATTCCTATGCAATGATTTATTACTGTGCATGACATATTTTGATCTTCAAGATGAACATTCTTTACGCGAAGGAATATTATTTATATTTAGAGGTTATGTTATTTTTGTCATGCGCGATTCCGATATTCTTAACGATTCTAATAAGAATTTTTGTAACGCGTGAAATCGTAAATCGTATTTCTAGAATCTTTCGAAATTCTTTGTGTGTTAGAACCGGCTGTTTCCTCGCAAAGCCGCGTGCGTTGACCACGTAGTTGTAGTTCGTTGATCGAGTGGAACGAACGAATGGTCGGTTTGAAAAAATCACCTTTCAATGGTGTGCACGCATAGTATAGCCGCAAGGGCTCGTGACAGGGTGAATAAAAGGGAAGGTCTGACTACAGTGTCTGGAGATGTTTGTGCCTCATTAACGTTAACCTCATTCGACGCAAATGCAGATGCATACACGAGCCGAGAAGCGTCTGTCCAGGAATCTCACGCTTGTCTACTCATAATAGCATACGCACGTGTATTCATGAACATGTATGTGTAAACTATACATAAGTTAAACGTGTAATAACGAATATAGTCTCAATGATGATGCACACAATGCATTATTATAGTGTTTTCAGAAGCGTAAAGGTTTAGATTATTTTAGGTTAGGAGAACATTTATATTTATTCTTAGGAAAAAATTGAAAAAAAATCGTTAAAACGTAAATCATTAATCGTATAAACGTATATTTAAATTTTTTATCTTTTAAAAGAAAATGAGTACTCGTTTGACATTATTTTATTATTTGATCATAGTAAATGCGAGTCACGAGAAGGGAACCATATATGTTTGCAAGTGCATTTGTATAACGAAAGTGCAGTCTGATCGCACTGGTGCACATACGGTACCTTGTATTGACAAACGGACAATGGTCTCACATTTACAGTGCAAAACATTGCCATACCGAGAAAAGTGTCAACCATGTTGTTTATCATACTTCGATAAAATATGTAAAGTACACCTTAACGATGTACTTTTGAAGAAATAACCAGGAAGAAAATATTAGGATTAAAGAAAAAATATATAATAAGGATTCTTAGAATTTTTGTCATAGATTATTTCAATTATTGAAAATTTTAATTAATACATTTTTATGTACTTCGAAAATTACTATTGTTTTTTAAAAATAATTAACGAATTTAATTTTTCTCTGAAATATCATTCCATTTATAAACAGTCGAGGTATATAAGTCTTTATTCGTATCGACAGACACGATAATATTGACTTTTCTACACCAGACAAAGCCGATTGTCTTCGTTTCTTATTCGTAAAAATCTATTTGATTCCTGCGGAAGGAATATTTTTTGTTCAGAAAACATACATTCAATTTACATATTAATAACTTGCATTATCATCTGATACAAAAGTAAAAAATAGTAAGTAATCTTTATTGATACATTAGTAATAACTTTCGTTATCGGATAACAATCTGGCGATCGATATCATGTAACGTTATAAGCAACGTGACTCCGCTCTTACCAAGTAGCCTCTTACGTTTTCTTGTGCATCCACGCTCTAAATATAAACGGACACGAGTACACGAAGTGTTGTTTTAATTCACTGTCACTGCTGCAGGAGGGTAGAAAGACACGTGTGTGTGGGAAATAGAAACAAACGTGGCAAACTGCACGAAAGTGACGAAAAATTTAACGATCGCACATGTGTGTAGAGTACATGTCAGTTTATATACATACGTATATAACTTTGAGTAATTTTTTTTGTTTATACTTTCGAAAAGCTTTAACATTGTTCCTGATCGATAGATAAATTAATCTATTACGAATAACACAATAAACTGATCGATATTGCAGAGAAAACATAGTCATTGTGTCGTAATTGCAAATATTGAAATGATAAAATTCTTGTAGAACATTAACGTGAAAAAAAGCAATAAAGTAATGATATGAAATCAATTTGTACATTTCATTGTTATATTTTTCCAACTCACTTCTCTGTAACGTGTAATTGTGTAATTTAGTAAACAATCATGATACTGTATTTCGCGGTTGAACGCGTAACATAACCTTTTTCCGCGAAACATTTACTTTTACACTATACTTTTCGCACGTGCAATCGATAAATATATTCTTTTTTCTCTTTTTTTGGCTTTTATTATTATCTAATTGGAAATCCATTGGAGTGTGTTAGAAAAGTGTGTGCTCGTCACGCGTCCTAGACATCTTGAACATCTCCGAACCATGGCGTCGAGGTGTAATGTGATCCATTCGAGTTCGTAAGTAAACGAAAACGATCTTATTGCGTAGTGAAGCATTTTTTCGCCTAGGTTTCCATGGTACTATAGTGGAAAGACGTGTCTGTAAACAAATAATATCCGCCATTTTTTCATCCGCGAATACGAACGTTCGCTATATGTTTGGAATAGATTCAAACCATAAATTGAGAATTAAAGATGGAAGATATCGAAAGATTCGCCCAAGGCGTATACCGTTGCCCTCCAAATATTATTCTGGAATGGCCTGGGGATAGAAATTACGCGTCTCGGGACCGGTATCGCTTTAATTCGATAACCTGTTTCCTTTTTATGCGTCGATTCCGCTCTCACAGAGACCAGGCTGGGATAACCGTTGCTGTTTCTGCTTCGTTTTTTGTCCGACCTCGTATGTACTATATATGTAATATCTGTACACCTAAAACGAAGTGACCAGGTCGAGCTCGTGGCCGTGAAAGTTCTGTTTCACTTGTTTACAGGCCATCAGGGCCGTTTCTCGTAGCTTCCCCGCGACTCGGGTAGTTGTAAAGGGGTCTTTCGCCTGCCTCGAGGAAAAAGGGAGAAATTTTCGAAAGCGATGACGGATCTTTCCGAATCCATTGCACGTGCTCATCTCTGCTCTAATTTTCCAATCCGTTGTTGACGTGCTTTCTTGATCGTTTTTCTCCTTACACTGTATGCTTGATTAAAGAGCGATTTCAATTTCCTTTTACGCAAAAGTGGTAATGATAATGATGTCAACCGGTACAGCACGAAGCGTTATAGTTTCCTTTTTTACAGAAGGAAGAAAAATTGACCTAGAAATTAAATCGTTTCTTTATTATTATTGTGTGATATTTTAAGATTTAAAGATTTTTCTTTCGATATTTCTATAAATAACTTTCTTTATTTAATAATGCAATGATTATCTGAAATTATAGGTTAAGTTTTTATACAGTCGAAGAATATTAATTTTCTTTTCTTTTGATTGATTAGAATAAAAAATTAAAAGATATTTACATACACAGCATGTTAGTCATTCATCTTGAAAGTGCTTCAGAGAGTCAAACTCTACAAAAGAAATCCCATCTCTTTATTTCAATCTAACCCTTACTACGGTTCATTGTTTTTCGTGTTCCCTACGGATCACAAGTCAAGTACTCTATTTCACCACTAGAGGGATGAGTGTCTGAATTCAAATGCGCGTTTCAATTTCGCGCATGTAATATTAGATGACGACGCATATAACGGTGATAAAGTTTAGTGGGTGTAATTTTCACAAATGAAAGAGTCGTGCAGTCAGTGATACGATAAAGTTGTTTTAATGTTCTGGATGTGTTCTAAATGATTATGTGCTGAAAGAGAAGTAGCATCATATTAAGGTATGGAGGATTATACATTTCGCGATTGATAACAACAACGAACGTTATTGCACGCTGTATACTTATAGACCAATCAGATGTTTATCAGACGAGTTAAACAATTTCCGATTAATAGTAACTAGCAGAGCAAGTTTCTCTTTGCCCTGGGCGACAGATCAGATCATCTCGCAGACAGTCTTATGTGAATGTTGTTCGTGCACTTAATGTGTTTCGTTCCATTCACATCGTCTACTTATGCTATTTAATTATTTAATTTTATAATATTTCTGTGTAATTCTATAATTTGTATGATATTTTATATTTTTTCTTGACTCTTCAAAAGCTTTTATGCATGCTATATGCACATGCGATCGATATGCACGCGAATTTGAAATTGCACGAGATTATTAAATGTTCGATTACGATAGAATAAATACTTCTTACAATAACGATTGGTGTTATAATAATAGTTTCATTTATACTTCGAATGATTCTTTTTTTTTTTTTTTTTTTTAGAATATTTGAAACGATAATTTTCATGTCAGAATAGAGTGAATTTTAATTTTAATTTTAATTTTAATTTTAATTTTAATTTAATTGAATTTTAATATGAAATTTAAATGAATATATAAATAGGAAAGGTGAAATTAAAACATGAAAAAGTGAAATTTACATGTTTTCTATAAGCATTTATTTCTTTCATTGAATTTATAATATTAAAATATAATCTGTATTAAAATATAATCCTCTCTCGATAAAATTGATTATCGCTTTCAATAATAATCAACAATTATCATCAAAAGTATTCCTGATTGAAAATTTTTTCATTTAATTCATTTTCTTCGTGCTTTCAATATAAATAATCTAAATTTCGTTTAAGCGTTGAGAAATCTTTGAACATAACCTCATTAAGTATTCCTGTCATAGTGTTATATATTTTCCATTTCTCGCGATCTAATCACTGCTTTTTTCGGCACGAAACAAACGTTATACTCAACGAAAGGGGATTTAAAATCGATTCGACATAACCTTTCTCCAGTCAGCAATAAAATAATTCGCCTGGCAAGCAAACACTTGACTCCTCCCTGTCCTTTGGCCGCAACAGACGTCGCCACTTGAGCACAGCCCCTTTTTTCCTTCTGCTGCGTGCGCACGCTAGTCAAAGCAGTCAAACGACGCACTTCGTTCTCTGCGTATATCTATACTTGTCGTTTACTTCGTGTTTTCGCCATGTTATCCTCGCTAGAGAGAACAGCCGGTCCTTCTTCGTTCTCTTTTCGCTCGAATTCAGCATGTTTCTCGAGCAGGATCACGCTTCGATACCATTGTCGGTCGATCGTCTCTTTTTCGGACCTGTTTCTGTACCTATTTCAACGATACAGAAGAGAAGAGCATCAATTGCGTACCCCGTGCACAGCATGCAATTAACTTACGCAAAAATTGCGACCACTCGAGCAAAAAGGTAATACGGTTGACATTTTTTGCGAGGGGGACGCTGGTATATTGCGAAAAGCCTCCATCTTGTTTCCTTAACATTGCAGGAGAAAAGGTAAATGAGCTCTTGTTTTTCAACCGAGACGAATCGCGTTCCACTTCCGTTTTCTTTTTTTTTTTTCTTTTTTTTCGAAAACTTATCGATTCCTAGAAGAAAAATATTATAAAATGCTTTGATAGTATGTAGTTTCTTTACTATGTTTAGTTGAATTTCTTTGTGGAAGTTTTTAGTGACTTGCCTGAAAGATTAGAAGAGTGGTTTTGTGATTTCTTGGTTAGGTATTCCGGTTTAAATTCTGTGAAGTTGGAAGCAAGAAATTCGATAGGTTTAATGCTTTCCAAGATCGTATAAATATATAGATCATGGTTCTTTGTATGAAATATTTCATATAAGAATTATTTAGATAATAGAAAGTAATGAAAAATATAATTAGCTAATAACTCTGGTAATTATTAAAAAGTATATATTTTTTCAATTAGAATTTATCATTTTCAAACTATACAAAAGAGATAAAAATATTTCCTTATATAAGAAAATCTGAAAGTTTTAAAAGTAATAAATATCCTCTCTGTACTATTCTTTGCAAGATTCTATTTTTCATTTTTCATTTATTTTTATGAAAATAAAAAATAAATTAATGAAAAATACAATCATTTCGAAAACTTTTTCTTTTTATAAAAATATTCATCAATTTAATTTACCAAATTCTTTTTCTTTTTCTATCGTTTTTTTTTCGAGTCAATTATTGAGTCAAACCACGTAAGTACACGCTGCTCGAACACGATCGTTAATTGATCACGTGTATTAGACTCAGAAAAAATAACGTGTAGAATTTTTCGCAGCGTACCGGACGAGCCATATCATGTCGTAACATACTGAAATAGGTTAAGAGTTAACCATCTGTTGCTAATACCAGAAGCGGTTTCACCGATCAATGACCACTGGCTAATTAATACTTGTGAAAACGTCCCGACTAGGAAATCCTTCGTATACTTGCGTCAGTATTTGGCGAACATTCTACTTGGAAACTAACTAGAGATTAAAAGATACAAAAAACTTTTACTTACTTTCAGAATATTGTTAATCCACGAACGAATATTCATTTTATCGTATATTCTAATAGCATACAAATATTTTTAATGTATTCTTAAAATTTATTTTTTTTTATTTATGACATATTTTATAAAAAGATAAAAATTAGGAGAATCGTATATATTTTATGATTAAAGTTTTTTTTTTTATTAGAATAATGAAAATTTCATTTTATGACTGAGATCCGACGGAACAATTAAATAAGAATAATTAATTGTTTCCTGAAAATAATATATTTTTAAAAAAATATAATAATGATATGCAATAATATTCAGAGTTATTTATCAAAGAAAATTGGATTTGAATTATTATCCGTAATTATTTTGTGATGATCTGTTATTCCAAAATGTTATTATTTATTCGGCAATTTAGGAAGAATAAGATTTTTTGCTAAGATTTTTTGTTAAGCTAGATATAATATGTATAATTAATAATTTGCATATCATGGTTGTCATTAAGTAATTTTGCTTGGTGCGTGAACCAACAAGATAATTAACAATTGATCTCGATTTTAAGAATTATTATTCTTTTTTGTATTCTCATATATATCAATTTCGTGGAGTAAAAGTATCAGTTTTTTAGGAAATTTTAAAAAAAGAAAAATAATAATATTGAAAAAGAAAAAAAATAATAATTTTGTAATATTTACTCTATTAATATTTGTATAAAATATAGATAAATTTTCTAATTGAAAAAGAAATATATATAATTAATCACAAAATTATTCGTTCGTCTGAAGTTCTAAAAATATAATTTTTCATTATGCTCTATTATTATTTTATTATTATTATATATATAATTTTTAAAAAATAAAAGAAAATATTTCAAAATTAGATTTATATTTAAAAGTAATAGTTGATTTTTTTTTATTAATTTTTTTTATAAAATATATTGAATATTTTTCATAGCCAAATATTTTAATTAAAAACAATTGTACATGTAAATCAGAAGATGAACAAAAAAAAATAAAAATAAAAAATCAACGGTTTGAATAAACGTCGGTTATTTTCATATCAAGTCCATTTTGAAAGTCTAAAAGTTTCCTATATGAATGATGAATTCCATCACGAATCAGGTATCTAAAACCATGAATACAAAGCACGCATAAATGGCTATAAATCTTCGAGGTTTAAATTTGTTCCGATTCATTTCTTCTTAACTCGATTCGTTTTAACTGGACGTCTTGATGATCCGAATCACTTGATTCTACTTTCTTTTTTCAACTTGAATAGGTGTAACATTTTTAAAAACCGTGACCAGTAGATCTTTCATCTTGATTTATTTATAATACTTAATATTATTTCGTTATTAATTTAAAAAATTTGGTTTATGATGTTTTTAACCATTCTTCATTTTTGAAATTCGATACTTTTCAAATTCTAAATAATAAACGAAAAATTCTTCTTTATATTCTTTTATTAAAAATAAAAAACAGAAACATCAAATTATTTATAGATATAACAAATAATCACAAATAAAACGATAATTTTTCATAAAGAATCAAAGTGATACAAGGTATGGGTAAAGAATTGAGTCACTTTCAAATACTCTCACGATTCATTTCCATCGACCATAATTTCTCATAAACCGATTCGTTTCGAGCCGCAAATCGTTTTCCATCCAATTTCACAACTTCATTCTCATTTACTATGCCACTGGCTTCACTTATGCTCGCGCTTCAACACTTTAACGATCCAATAAAAATCTTTTTAAGATTCCTCTATCATGTATTTCCGCGGTAAAGACAATCGCATGAAACAGTTAAGAACCGCGAGACAATAATTCACGCGTTTTATGGGTAGGCCGTTCCCACTAGGGAAAGTAAGTCAATCGACTGTTGATAAGTTAGGTCTCACAACAGGTCAACTAGCGGAAATTACGATTTTCTAAAGTTGAGATTCGTGAACATCTTGTTTGTGCATCATAATCATATATTTTTCAGCCAATTTTCAACATTCACTCGAGCCAATTTCAACATTTGCCACTCGATATTTTATTATTATTTTGTATAAATGCATAATAATTGTATCTTATTCACGTTAAAATATTGTAAATCATTTTAATCTAGCTACCATACATCCTAACCTATAATTTATCAGAAAATTAAATTAAACTACGTCACAAAATTTCCTATTTAATTGATTTGAATTAGAATTTTTT